GGGGGGAACGAACGACTTAGGAACATGATGAGGAGACGCGTACGAAATAGGTAGAATGAACCAACCGGTCTAGGGAAATGTTGGACCGGCTCTCTATTGTCCAGTACAACGAGTTGCGTGGGGGAGCTTCAACATCAATTGTCGAACCTTCAGGATCTACGTAGTACGTGGTGGAATCGCGGCATTGAAAGCAGCCGAAATTTTGCAGTCGCCTGGTAGATCAATTTTTTAAGCATTATCATTGAGCTTCTTAATTATGTAGAAATGTTCGTTATCATTTAAGCATTATCATTGAGCTTCAAGATCTCTGGGTTTGAGTTTCCCATATGCTCCTACGGGAAAACGCTCCTTAAGGCAGACCCAGACGAGGTCTCGTTCATTAAAGGTTATCTTTTTTTTTTCCTGGATTTGTTAGTCTGTGCTTGATATTTGTGGTTTTCTTTAGAAATTATTTCCCCAACTTCTTTATGGAGTTGCTAAATTTGGTTAGCATGTTCTATAGTATCATCATTGATGCATGCTCAGGGTAAAAGTGGAACTAAATCAAAGAGTTTTATTAAGGAGCTATTTGGTAGTCGGTTTTTAAGCAACATTTAGGCTAAATTTTGCCAAACGAAAATAAATGCCTCCATAAATCCTAAGCTCTCGTAAATCCCAAAATGACGCCGATTCATGACAAATTCGGGATTTACTAAATACTGTGAGTGGCGGATTTAGTAAATCTGGGAAGAGCCAAGAGGAAGAATAGTGTGAACAAGCTTACCTTCCTTAATGGTTTATTGGAGGAGCGGAGAGGAAGGTTGAGAAAGATGGGAGCTTTGGTACTCTCTATAAGCCGCGATCCCATGTTTTTCTTCCCAACTAGCTCTAATGGCGACTGTATCGCGATGGTCCTTTCACGAAGGCAATGGTTTTGGGTGAACCAGTGGGGAGAGTGACATAAGCGAGGGTTTTGGGCAGAGATGAGAAATTTGGGAGAAACCAGGAGAGAGGGTGGATGTCGAAGAGGTTTTTGAGCAGATAGGGGAATAGGAATAGGGAGATAGTTTTGTGGTTTTAATTTTATTATTTTAATTATTAACAATTAATAAATAATTTATATATTATCTAATTAATTATAATTAGATTTATTTATATGTAATTATTTAATATTTAATTAATAAATAAAACTATATTATAATTTTTAAATTACTTAAGAAGATTTCAAAGTAATTTTTAATTTATATAATTAATTATTGATTAATTTTAAATTATTGATTAATAAATAATTTGTTTAAAAAATAAGTATTAATTTATATAATTTATTTTCAATTAATGTAAACCCCCTTTTTATACATTTTGAGATTTTGGATAGTCATTTATTTTTTTATTTATTATTTATGTTTTGATGTTCAATATATTCTGCTAAATCTTTTTAAAACTGTCAAACAATTTCTCAGGATTTATCAAGTTTTGCTTACTAACATACCATACAATACAGTTTTTCAGAATTTAACCACCTTAGAATTTTATAAATTCGGATTTACAGGATTTACTAAAGTTTATTACTAAATCCTACTTGCAACCAAACAGCCTCTAAAAGATTATGAGGGCTAAATTGCACTTTTTTAAATTATATGACTTGTACTTATAAAATGACTCTCTACATAGAATTAGGGGACTATTTTCTACATTTTTCTCTATGCATCTGTATTGCACACAATTCAGGCAATAATTTGTTGATTTTGGCGAGCACTTCATTATTGTCTTTTCCAATGATGAAGTAATGGTGCTGTTCCACATTTCATATAGTTACTACTGCATTGTTACATATGTTAGTAGTTGATGCTTATGCAGATACTGTTACGCTTGCTGCTTGGTTCCTTTGATAATTTGAGTTGCAAGAGTTTTGCATAGACTTTTACAAATATGTCCGATGCAGTATTTGTGAAGGCGCTCCTTACTTTGAGATATCTGCGATTAATGCCGACAAACCACCATTGGAAGTAGTTGAAATCAAACGACGTGTTGAACAATTCAAGAAGACAGGTACTTCTTAAGAATTAGTCCTTGTACAGGTCAATTTTTTTTAGTTTACTCAGGTAAGCCATGATATGAATATGTGATGCACTCGTTAGCTGAAGAAGAAATCATGAAACGTGTGGAAATTCTTCTCTTGTGGCCACTAGAATGTGCTATTTTCTAACATCAAGCCATTTATTCTGTGTTGTACTTGTAATAGATTTAGCAGCTAACAGACATAGCAAGCTTGGAGTAATTTTAGGTGGATATAAAATTTAAATTTATTTTTTTTAATTATCCATTATAAAATGAAGGAATGCCAGTCATTCATGAGAAAAAAAAAACAGGAAAATTTAGAGTAAGCATTGTCTTGCAAAGCATTGTTGTGTTTGTGGGATCCGAAAATGGAGTAATTTTAGGTGGATATAAAATTTAAATTTAATTTTTTTAATTATCTATTATAAAATGAAGGAATGCCAGTCATTCATGAGAGAAAAAAAAAAAACAGGAAAATTTAGAGTAAGCATTGCCTTGCAAAGCATTGTTGTGTTTGTGGGATCCGAAAATTCATGCCCCTGACTTACATTCTTGTTGAGAGCTTTATGTTTGGTGTTTCGAGTCAAAGTTTTAGAAGCAGATTGTCTTGTAGATAAGACAGTACTCAAATATTTCACCCTCATTTTATGATGATTTTTTGATATGGGATTTGAGGTTTCCCATAGACACAAGCCCCTCCTATGGTTTAATTACCTTTTCCGGCAACTGGAGAGTACTTTTGATTAAGGCTAATCATTTAAAAATGAATATTCAACGTATAGTAGCTACAAATTTAGGGTTTTGTAAGCTCATGCTGGCTTCAATATTACAACAACTACAAAGACAGACGTCTACCTCTGCCTTTCTTAACATAAGTCGAATCTAAAACATTTACTCTCCTAATCGAATCATCAGATGGATGCAATGAACAAAAAATATTCATGTAGCCGACCCAAATTAGTGGGATAAAGGTTTGTTTTTGTTTTTGTTGTTGTATTCAACATATAGTAGCGACAGATTTAGGGTTTAAGATTGATCTACTTATCAGGTTGAGCTTAAAGAGGATGGTGGGGGAAATGATGACGAACATGATCAGGATTTCATGGTTTCGTCACCTTATGCCATTGTGGTTCCAGATCTACTTAGTTAGCGGAACTAACTGATCCAACCTGATCGAAAGATTCTTATCATCAACCATGAGTTATGGCATATAAGGAATCCTTATAGATGCAACTGCATGTTTGTCTAAGAGAACAAATTTAAGTCGGCCATAGCTAACAAAAAGCTTTATGTCAATCAAATGTACATTTATGATTCACAACTCAAATATTTGAAAGTCATTGAGGAAAATAAGGGTTGTAATGGTGATCGTAATTTAATAGTGTCATTTGACGACACCCACCTGGTTAAAGGTTTCTGATCAGTTGCTGCTTTTTGTGGAGCTATTAGGCCAAACGACATGGAAAAAGGACTCGGGCCACGTTGTTACCAACGTCAGATTGGTTTGAGCGTGAATATAGTGATATGCTCAATATGACTTTCAGTTTTTGTAAGATGAAGTAAATCATAAATTTGTTACAATTGATAAACCATTATAGATGATGGATGAATTTTGTTTTAAGCTTTTAAGTGATTGATTTTAACTTGGATATTTTAGTTTGTTATTTTTTTAAATTTGATTTGAATTTTGATTTAAAATTTGACCCTTTAATTTGAAATTTTCATTCAACGCGACCATCATCAGTAATTTTTGACATTTAAAATACTTATTTTTGCAATCGAAGATAATTCCATAATTTTTGTGCACTTATGAAGTGTAACATGATATTTTAAAGTATTAACCCATATTTTGGACCATTTAAAATTTTAAAGAGATCTCAAAATATGATTGTAAGGTTTAAAGCATTTAAATATACTAATTGCATTAATATTTTATTATTTAGATGCAAATACATATCTTACAAGCATTTAAACATTTAAGAGATGACTAATTGTATTTGCACAAAGGCATGTTATTTAAGTTGAAACTAGTCTTGAATTTTGTGACAATTTAAAATCATTTGAAACAATAGAACTTCACTTGTATATTGTATTATTGGAACACATGCAAAGTTATATTTTGGGCTTCAAAAGGGTTGTCTTCCGTCTGCTTGCAAATTAAAGTTGTAAATTCGGTGGTGAAAAAATATATTTAGTCTTTATTTTAACACCCAAAAATCAAATTTATATCTTAAGCATATTCCCAATTTATTATATTTTATATTTGGGCGCAGATCTAAAAGCCTAGAGTTTTGGATTATTTTTCAAGTTCAAAAACACAAATTTCGAATTATTTTGCAAGCCTAACAGCCTAAATATGAATTTCTTTTCAATTTCAAAGCCCAAATTTCGAATCATTTTCAAGTCTAAAAACCTAAATTTGACTTATTTTCCAATTTCAAATCCTAAATTTTGAATCATTTATAAGTACAAATGCATACACTTGAATTTTTTTTCAAACATTTGCTGTCTAATTTTAAATATTTTTGTTAGTTTAAAAAGTTCTTATTTTTAAAATTTTTTACAAGTCAATCACAGAAAATTTGGGTAGCCTCCAGATATCTCCTCCAGTTAAACAACACTGTGTAGAATGTCAGTCAGTCTAACTGTCTAAAAGACTCATTGGTCAGTGTCATACGCCACTAGTCGATGAGTAAAATATGTATTTTAACTCACGGTCACATTGGGCCTTCAATTAACTCATAAAAATGCCAAAGTCAAGCATGCATTTCCTCAAATATGTACTTAACATTCCCTAAACGACACTTGACCCTACACAGGTAACTCAGGTTTTCCAAACCGAGCGCTTAAATTTTTTTTTTTTCTTTAATAAAATTTTCCTCAAACGAGTGCACAAATTGCACCATTAAATTATGGTTACGGTCACAACCCTTGTGTTCTCCAAAGGCTTTTTACCATTTCAGTTGTCAAACATATAGTACATTTGATTGACAAAACTTTATATTAGCCAAGATAGCTTAAATTTGTCTCTTTAGGCAAAACATTCACTCAGATTTACAAGAGTCCCTTGGATGACAACATCTGGTTGCTAACAAGAATTTTTCAATCAGGTTGTGTCAACTATCTTCTGTTACTAAATAGATTAGGAAAAATGACAATTAGGGACGACGGGTCCATGAGATTTTGATCGGATTCATCGTCATTTCTCCCACCATGCGCGTTAAGCTCAATGTGGTGAATTTTATAATCTAAAGTCCAAAGTCTGCTCTTGCTATACACTAAATATTCAATGTTAAATGACTAACTTTAATCGAAAGTTTTTTCCCGTTTTTTGGTGGGTAATTAACCATAGAGACTTTTTCCTATCGAAAACCTTGAACCTTGAATCAAATGATCCTCACAAAATAAGGGTGAAATCTGTGGGCAGTGTCTTATTTACAATCCAATTCATCTTTTGAGAAGTTGACTCGAACACCAAAAAATGCAATCAAGATCAACGAGAATCCGGGGCACGAATTTTCCGATCCCACATCTCAAATATCCAGCAACCAATTGAAAGAAAATGCAAATGTTTTAAGAATGGCTACATTTTAATCTTCCTCGCAGGGAAAGCTGTGATAATTTCAAACCAGCCATACTTCTACAAGAAAGCCGAGCTTTTCCCTGGATCTGCATTTGTTATAGGTGCAGACACCGCAATAAGATTGATAAATGTAAGAAATGACCTCTTGACATAATTCCACACTAAATCTATGGAAAAGGTTCTGCCAGTCCACCTGCCACAAATCATGTAATATATGTGGAAGATTTACGTGCATGCCACATAATTCTTATGTATTTACATATCTAACACCTAAACTTTTATATTTACATTAATAACACTCTACTTATGCATCAAAAAGTGTATTTCACTTTAAAAAGTTAATAATAATAGTATTTTTTATGTGATAATAAAGATTTAAGTGTTAGAAACATAAAAATCAAAGTTTAGGTGTAAGACATAGAAATTCATAAGAATTGTGTGGTATGTAAATTCCCCTATATGTATATATATACTATCACATTTAATTTAGGCATGTGCAAAGGCACATTTATACACATACTTGCACATTATTTATAAGATTGAAATGCAGTCCATTAATTATAGCCAGCCTCTTTTACTCGGTCAAAATTATGCTCTCTCTCTCAGCCTAAATATTACGGAGATTATCAAAGGATGCTGGAGATACTCCTTGGATGCAAAAGTTCGGGCTGTTTATTTCTCGTTGGTGGCCGAATGGTTGATGGCGTTTTCAAGGTGTTTTTTTTTTTTTT